GTGTAGCCTGCTTTAGTCACAAAGTCTATTTCTGACTCCTCCTCTGCTTCAATTTGAGGCGGATACATTGACTGGATGTCAATGTAAACCACCTGAGATGACCCCACAGGTTCATCCATAGGGGGATTTGAGATCTCCTCTTCAACAATAGAGGGGCAATAGGACACAACTACATGGTTTTCATTTTCTGAGTCAGAGTCATCTTCGGGCACGGTGTCTGCGGCTGGGGACATCATCTCTGTGTCTTCTATCTTGGGAGCAACAGACTGTGTTTCCACCACTTCAACACTATTAGGGGTGCAGGGGTTCATTTCCAGTGTTTTAAGTGTCTTATTCCCCTGAAGTAAGAAAAATGAGAAAAGGGAGAGACTAAGCAAAAAGATCAGGAAATCCTGAAAGCAAGAGCCTGTCTGAATTATAGTAGTATGTTGGGTTGAGACTTTGCCCTCATTCCACTACTACTAATACAATACAAAAAAAAGGTGATTTAATTCTCAGGCTCACAAATATTCACACATTCATGTTAACATAAAAGTATTTCAGTACTCAGACTCAGGCTTTTGCAGGAAGTACTTCAGAACTGCTTCCCCAAATCTCTGCTTTGCATAAGTCACTTCAGAAAATTACTTAAATGTTACCCTTAGGCCAGGCTATTAAATGCCCCAGAAAGTTGGGAACATGGTGCACACACTTCTCTCCACTTTATGTGAGGAAGATGATAACTATATCAGGAACTTATCCTGTGTACCGAGATGTGTTATTAATCTGACACAACAGAATTACAGCAGTGATTTCCTTATTCAAGCTTTTTCAAGACACATTAGCAACACAATAGCTGCAGATACCGTCTGACAAAAGTAACTCCGCAAGTTGGGCTGTTCTCCCCTGCCACAGAGTTAATTTACAAGTGGAGCAGTAGACTCAAAGTTTGCAAAAGGCTGTTCTACTCACAAACGCATTTAGAAGTTTAAAATACCAGGTTTAAAAGGAGGCTTACTTCGCAGATGTTCTTCTGAAACTGCAGTGCTTTGCTGTTCTCTGGATTTGGGATCTCAGGATAAAATGTTTCTTTAATCCTTTAAAGAAGAAAGAAAGAACTTTTAAAAGTTACCAGGCCTAGAAATAGTTTGACAATACAATAAAGGAACTGGGACATTTCCCTTTAATTCAGAATATTCAAGACATCTGGCATAAAGCTTTACTGCATTACATTTCAACATTTCACCGAGTACTTAATGGAAAAAACAGCAAACATTTTCTTTTTATTTTTAACTTGGGAACTTGAAATGTCATGTTTATGAGATGTTGAAAATCAAATGTCTACCTGGCTCTTTGTGGACAGGTCACAAAATACAAAATATCACCAGCCTATTTACACTGGGCACTATTTATAGATGGTGCTCCCTGGGAGACAGGCTCCCACAACCCTTTTTTTTGCATTCCTAACCAGCTCCAAGTTCTTTTCAGCTTCTCTTCAACTCAGCTTCCTCCTCATGCTCTACAATCTGTTTTTGCCACCTGCTCTTAAGCAAAGGTCTGTAAACCCCACAGACATCTTTGGGTATTTGGAGAAAACAAAGTAATAAAAGTCACAGAAAACTCTAGCCCTGAAGCAAATGCATCCAGAAGAAGATCAGAACTGAAGGCAGGCATTTACCATTCCCTCTTTCTGTAGCAAAAGATGCTGGCCACCACTCCAAGCAGAACAACTACTGCCACTGGGATGAGGATTGCAATGATTAATCCCACAGCTGGAGAGGAGAAAAGCAAAAAACAGTGAAGATATATCCCAAGTTACCAGCAAGGTTTATAGCTTTTGCATCATTCCCACAGACCAAAGAGCATTTAATCTAACATGAAACACATTTAACAGTGACCCATACCATACACTTCCCCTTCAATAGGAGGGGAAAAAGTCTGCCAGTAAGGGGATTATTTCAAGGGTAACTGCAGAAATCAACAGATATTTCTCTCCATTTGCTTAACAGAGAAGAGGCTTGTGCACAATACAATAAGGATTGTCATGCAAGGTCTGTTCTCAGGAAACACTTTCAGGTTACTTGAGCAGGCCAAATCTCTGGTAATGATTCTGACCTGCCTTTTATCTATTTTACAATGCTTCTAATGCCCAAGTTTTAACATCACTGGGAATATGTTGGAGTATGTGCCTCAGGTTTGATTTTTCATATATTTTCATTGCACCCTGATGTTTATTCTTTCCTCCACATGAAATATTTTTTTAAATTTTTCTCATCCCCCAAAGCCAATCTCTTTCTATAACTGTCTTTCTGGGTTTGCTTCTGCCATGGGATTGATAAAGCCGAAATCAAAGCAGAGAAGCATCTGTTTATAATTCTGAAACTCGTAAATATTTCCATAATGCATTTCTTCCCACCATTTATTAGTAGATATTCATCATGGGAAACTTGACAAAAACAACTAGCTGTTTGAAAAAGCTGGGACTCCACCACATCTAGGAGCAGCCTGAGAGTTATTTTTCTTGCATACATTTCCATGAACTACATGGTAGCTATAACAGGAATGTTTTCTTACAACAATTTTTATATCTAAAAATAACTAACTAACTGAAATAAAAAGTAGTCTGTAAACCCAAACTACTTGCAGAGACCCAACAAAATAATCTCAGCTTTATATACATTGTACAGCCCCTGTGCTAAAGAATATTAATAAATAGGGATATCCAACTTACAATCCTCCTTTGTCACCACATAGAGGCTATTTGCAGGGCTCATCCCACCAGCAGTGTAGGCTTGTAGGTCCAGCTGGTAGCTTGTTTTGCCTTGAAGATCAAGTATTCTCAAAGACTTCTTTGTTAA